CCTCCTGCCTGCCCGTGAAGTGCATGGGAAGTCCCTATGTACTACCTCGGCCTGCCTCCTGGCTGCCTCCGACTGCCTGCAGTTGCAGGGCGGGCAGTACAGGAGGCTGCTCTTGCCAATGCCGAACCGGGCCAGGGCTTGACGCTGCAGCTCACTGCTGAGGCTGTCGTGGGAACAGGCCAAAAATAGCCTGTTCCTAAAAACCCTGGTTTGGTGCCCGAGTTTCGGGGCAGGTCGGTCTGATGAGGGCCCGAAAATGGCCCTCAGTTTCAGGCTAAAAAGGCTCATGCCGTTTTAGTCTGAAACGACACAGGGCCTGTAGGCCTTTGTTTCCAGCTGTAGGAGCTGAACAGACACGGGGCCAGTAGGACCTAAATTTCAGGCTTTTGGCCTGAAATCCAGGCTTTTAGCCTGAAGGACGCAGGGCCTGGAAAATGGTCCTCGTGTGCAGGCGCAACATGTAACCCCCCCCCCCTCCTTATGAAGTCAAGCCGGGGCGAGGGCGAAGCTGAGGATCTGAAGGTGGAACGTGGACGCGGGCGCGGCGTGGAGCCGAAGAGACCGGCTTGCCTTGCGTCTTGCGTTCGTAGCGTGTGAGAACGTCTGGAGCTGTTGCTTGAAGTTTCGCACAGGTCAACCAACGGTCAACTCGATGTGTGCAGTATGCAAAATGTACCAAGTACTCGGTTGGCCTGTTGCCATAGCGTCGCTGGGAGATGATGTCGCCGACCTCCTGAAATCCGTCCATAGAGGGTGGGTCTTGCGAACGTCGCCCGGGAAAATCGTCATGATCCGTTGGCGTGTAAAGAGCCAACTTGGAGCAATGAAAGACTGGGTAGACGGGCAAGTGGGCGGGCACCTGAATAGTGAAGGAAGGTCCCCAGCGGGTGCCACGATCGGCCAGGGCCCCATCCATTTCAAGAGGAGCTTGCAAGAGATAACTTGTTCAAGGCTGAATTTCGTGGCGGAAACCCAAACGAGGTCGCCGGCAATGGGCAAGGGAGACGCTGGCGATTGGCCTGCTGGCTCACGCGTTGCGGCGTCTTAGCCATGTGGTCGCGTGCCTTGACAAGAAGTTCTTGCATCCGTCGTAAGAACAAAAGATGGCCGTCGCTCTCGGCCGCTCGTGGAATGATGGCGTCCAACGGAGAAGTAACCGGCGAGCCGTGCTTGAATTCGAAAGGCGACATCCCAATAGCCGGGTGGATGGAGGAGTTGTAGGCCAACTCAGCATCCGGCAACCGCTCAACCCAATCCTTCTGGTCCGGTCGGATGAGAGTACGAAAGAGAACCTGTGCAGTCTGGTCGCCCTCTCCGTTTGGCCATCGGTCTGCGGGTGGCGAGCGGAACTGGGCTTGAGTGATGAGCCCCATCGCTTGATGAGCGCCAACCAAAAATCGGACATGAACCGAGTTTCACAGTCGCAGACGATTTCCTTGGGGTAACCCTTGGTTCGAATCCAATCGGCGTAAAGAACCTTGACCAACTCCGGTGCCTTGGCATGATAGCGGCAAGGCAAAAACATGGCGAACTTGGTGAGTCGGTCGACCACCGCGAGAATCTCATCCACTCCGGTCTTGTGTTGGGGAACGGGCCGGTAATGTCCATGGCAATCGCTTCCCTTCGCCGCAAGGGGACCGGTAACGGTCGCAACTCACCGTGCGGACGATGATTACGGGATTTGCGACGTCGGCAAACCTCGCATGACTCACAATAGTGTGTGGCGTCGTCGTGAAGACCGGGCCACCAAAAGCGCTCGCGGAGTCGGCCAATCGTACGATTGATTCCAAAATGTCCGGTGGCGGGAGCGTCGTGAAACTCGCCAAGAAGCCGTGCGCGCAAGTATAAATCTCGTGGCACACAAAGAAGATCCTTCCCTCGCGAGTGAACGAGCAAGTACCCCTCTTGGATCCGATAGTGCGATGGCGCCGGATTAGGAGAGGAGCAATTTGCGTACTTGTCGCGAAAGTGGGGGTCGGCTTGATAGCCGCGGATGAAACTCTCCCGCAAGTCGTCGTCAATTTCAAAAGTCGAGTAGACTACAGTACAATGGTTCGGACGTCCTGAAAGAGCATCCGCAAAACGGTTTGACTTGCCCGGAATATGGTCGTGGAAAAAGTCAAACTGGTCAATGAAGGTCATCCAACGGGCAATGGTGCTATTGACCGTGTCTTGGGTCTTGTAGAAGACCAATGGATTGTTACCCGTTACCCATCGGAACTGCCGTCGACCGAGAAGAAAATGCTGCCAGCACTTGAGCGCGTGTACGAAGGCCAATAATTCCTTCTTTCGTGCGTCGTCAATCGAGTGCACGGCGGGCATTTTCTTGCTAAAGTACTCGATCGGGTGCCAGTCCACGCCGTCATGTTGCTCGAGGACGGCACCAATGCCATAGCCGGACGCATCGGTAGTGACACATGTCGGCAAAAGCGGATCGTAAATGCGCAACACCTCCAATGATAGCAATGCGGCTTTGAGAGCCAAAAATAAAGTCTGCACATGGTCATTGAAGTCGAATGGCCGGTCCTCGTATTGAAGCTTGGATAAAGGAGCCGCGATCTTCGAATAGCCCTTGACGAAGCGTTGATAGTAGCCGGCTACGCCAAGGAAGGAACAAACATTTGTGACGGTCTTCGGCTCCGGCCACTCTTGGATGGCGTGAATCTTGTCCGATAACGGACTGATGCCCTCCGGTGTGACAAAATGGCCCAAGTATTCCAGCTCTTGCCGGACAAATTCACACTAGTCGCGGTTGGCTTTGTACTTGGCGCGGCGGAGCGTCTCCAATACTCGTCGAAGGTGCTCAAGATGATCCTCCAATGTTCGGCTATAGACGAGGATGTCGTCTAAGTAGACTAGTACAAACCGGTCCAACATCGCACGGAACTCGTTGGTCATTGCCGCTTGGAAGGTCATCGGGGCATTGGTGAGGCCAAAGGCATAACGATCCACTCAAAATGCCCGTACCGCGTCTTGAACGCGGATTTGTAGCAATCTTGCGGGCGTATCGAGATTTGGTGGTAGCCCGACTTCAAGTCCAACTTTGAGAAAAATTTTGCGCCGCCCAAACGCTCGAGAAGGTCGTCAATCCGCGGAAGAGGTCCCGCATTCTTGATGTTTTGTGCGTTGAGCTTGCGGTAGTCGATGCACAAGCGAAGATCCTTGTTCTTCTTCCGTACGAAGAGAACTGGCGCACCGTATGGTGAGCTACTAGGGCGGATCCAGCCCTTGTCCAAAAGATCATCGAGTTGAGCGCGGAGAACGTCAAGCTCTTCCTCGCTCATGCGATAGATGCATCCTTTCGACGGCATGGCACCGGCCTCAAGAATGATCTCGTGGGAGATCGACCGATCCGGCACCACACCGGTAGGAGACTCGAAGATGTCGGTGAACTCGTCGAGCAGCCGCACCACTCGGGGGTCCGAAGACAAGTTCGTAGGTGAAGGGTCGGTCGTCGTGGCGGCTCGTAGAAAACATAGGCCTATCTCGTCGATCCGCTCGTAAGCCCAAGCGGCCCGAAAAGACTTGGCCGTTACAACTTGGCACCGGATCGAGGAGTGCGGAAGAGGAATGGTACACGACACCTCGGCGCCGAAGGCGTCGCGAACGGTAAGTGTCCGCTGATGGAAGTTAACCGTGTGATCCACACTTGCAAGCCAAGGCATCCCCAATATAATGTCGAAGTCCGTGTCCAAGACGTCAAACGTCACCGGTTAGCAGGCATGAGGTGCGAAATAAACTGGCATAGCTTCAATGTAGCGATCAAAGAGTTGTTGCGTCCGACCGTCCGCCAACTTGATCGCCGTCGGGTTTGGCTTCCGTCGAACTTGAGCGCCAAGGCCGGCCCTTTGGATAAAGGACTGGCTGATGAAATTGCGAGTCGCGCAGCTATCCAGCAAAGCGCTGCAGGACGCTTGCCCAACTTGGATGCGGACATAAAGGAGCGGTGCGTTGTTATCATTGTACCGCTGCATGCGAAACTCGCGGGCCACCTTGGTAACATACGCAAGGATGTCCCCCCCCGCAACTTCGTCATCCGTTGGCGAAGATGTGAAGATGGGCGGATAGTGCTGCGCATTGCGGTCCGGACAAGCAGCCTGTGGAAGGGAGAGGAAGCCATGCAAAGTCCTCGGACGTCAACGGGTCCAAGACCTCTATGTTGAACTCGTGCGTCGAATCCCTTGAAGAGCCACTTGAAGACGATCTATTGTTGTTGTTGTCGGACGGAGAAGAAGCCGCACACACATCTTGTCCTTGAGCTTGAGAACCCAGCGAAGGAACGAGCCGGGCAGCATAGTCCTCGTAAGAATATAAGAGAGGACTGTCGACTTCCGCGTGTGCCTCAGAATGAAGAGAGGTTGCTCGCGAAGCAACCGATTCCGAAGGCGTCGAGAGTGCGGCCGCATCACTCTCGGCGGTGCTCACTTTCCCGAAGGGGATTTGGCTTGGACTGGTGTGGGGCACGTTGCGGTGTCGTGCACCGCGCTGTTGCACCACAAGCAGTATCCGTACTTAGAACGGATGCGGTACATGCCTTCCGAGATACCGTAATGTGTCCAAGGCTCTTGAGTCGCTGGTCCAGCCCCGGGGGCTGAATTGGTGTGTGTCTTCGGTTTGCCGTGTCCTCGCCCTCTGGCGGGGCGACCACCATCCCGGGCAGCTGCCAATCTGTCACCTTCCTCAGAAGAGGCAGCCTCGTTTGGTGTTGCTGCGACCACGGCCACTTTCGGTCGATGCTGTCCTCTGCCCTGGCCTGCAGCAGACGAATGGGCCAAATTCTTGGCCTCGATGTTCGTCAAGATGATCTGCAAGGCTTTATAAAAAAGCTGCTCACTTGTGGTGAGCGTCTCCGCAACTTGCGCCAAGGCGTTTTGCAACGCCGGGCAGCTCCTCCTGATGAAGAAGTGCTTGATAGCGATGAATGTCGATGACAAGTTGGGCGTGGATGCCAAGCGTTGGTACTCGGTGTTCCAGTCCGTGCTTGGCAGGTCGTTCTGATAGAACCGTTGAAGTTTCTCGGCTGCCTGAAGCTCAGGCGGCTCCACTTGGAACCGCTTATGCCATGCTGCCTTGAGATCAGCCCAGCTGATCTTTGGATGCTGCTCGGAGACTGCGACGTTGTGCGTGGACAACATGTTGTCCAGCCATGCCTGGCACGCACCTCCCGAGCGGGAGTATAAGTATGCGTGCCGGTTCGGGTTGATGACGTGGTGAATGTCCAACTTCAGCTCAAACTGGCGCCACCATGGGATCGGGTCCGTCTTCGTTGCATCACAGAAGATCGAGAGACCGTCAAACTTCGGGATGCTCTCGTGATTGGTCACGGTTGGACTGGCTGCGGCAGCGCAAATCTGCTGGTCAATCCGCTGATTTGTCGTTACGGCGCTGTTCTTGAGGGTCTCGACGTCGATTTCCAAGATGTTGACGCGGTCCGTCAAGTTGGAGGGTCCGGCGGGGGTGGCTGATGCAAGCTGCTGTTTGAGGGACCTGTTGCGTACCCGGTCAAGCAGTTCATCAATAACGCGAATCTGCTTCCGGACCAGGGTGTCCATGCAGAGGATGTCCTCTTGCTGTGCTGCACAGGTGGCAACCAAGTCGCTCACATTTTCGATTGTGGTTGCAAGGCCACGCACAGCAGAGGGGGCAGCCTCAGCATTCGCCTGTTGCTGCTGTTCAGTGCGGCGACGATGTTCCTCTGCTCCCTCGTCTTCCTTTTTACGTGCGGATGTTGCCGCAGCTGCCCGTTGCTTGTACTCTGCTACCATGTCCAGCATGCGGGCCTCATAGGCCTCGGTAGTCTCGCCTGGCTGCTGCTCCATGCCGCTTGTCTTTGAGCGAGTGAGTACCATGCACTGACGTGACCTGCTGCTGCGTGACTGGTTGCTGACGTGGCACTGCTGCCGTGTGACTGGTTGCTGACGTGGCACTGCTGCCGTGTCCTGGTGACGTGGCCTGCTGACGTGGCAACTTACCAATGCTGCCGGAGGGGTTACCCGGAGGGAGATAGAGAAAATACCAGAGGGGACAACAACGTAGGTGGGGAGGGGTGGGATAAGTCGCCCAGATAAGGAGCCACTAATCAAAAAAGAAAAGTTCGAACTTTGCAAAAAAATTAGAGACAAAAAAAAATATACTCGTTTACAAGTTCAGTAGGCCCCTCAAATCCCCTGAAGTGCAAAATTATCAATGAGAAAAAAAATTCGAACTTTCAGACCGCAAATGATTTTCTGATAAAAGAATTCTGAAAATGAAGTACAAGGAAGTTTTCGGAATTTCACAGATGAGAGTACGTGCAGTTGGAGAATGATAACTGCAAGGAGGATTCCCGTACCGTTTTAAAAAAAAACGGATTTTGGAATAAGAATATTTCGGATGTCCAAATAACACGAAATTGCAAAAAGGAAATCGAAATATTCTGGATTTTCAACAACGAAATTTTGAATTTTCAGAAGAAAAACGAAATCGGAAATTTCAGATGTTGCGCTATTGCGATTTTCCACCACAGTAGTATGGATTCCGTACATCTGGGCCTAAGTCCTCCTCCGTGCAAGCACAGATTCAGACCGGCGACTTCGGCCTCAAGAGCCAAGTCTCTTAACCACTACAGCCAGGACACGGTGTTCGAAAGTGGAATCTTACCGGTCGTGATATCCACCCCACCTCTGCAAGGCTGTAGTGTCCAACTCAACACAACACCCACGGACATGACAATTCTCGTACACTTCGCTCTGTAGTCAGCACGTAACCCCCGCTGGTACTCTCATCCGCTCACACAGACGGGAGACTTATCAATGCCCGTCGGTTCACGGGCGCTTCCACAGTAGTATGGATTCCGTACATCTGGGCCTAAGGTCTCCTCCGTGCAAGCACAGATTCGAACCGGTGACTTCGGCCTCAAGAGCCAAGTCTCTTAACCACTACAGCCAGGACACGGTGTTCGAAAGTGGAATCTTACCGGTCGTGATATCCAACCCACCCCTGCAAGGCCGTAGTGTCCGACTCAACACAACACCACACACAACACCCACAGACACGGCAATTCTCGTACACTTCGCTCTGTAGTCAGCACGTAACCCCCGCTGGTACTCTCACCCGCTCACACAGACGGGAGACTTATCAATGCCCGTCGGTTCACGGGCGCTTCCACAGTAGTATGGATTCCGTACATCTGGGCCTAAGTCCTCCTCCGTGCAAGCACAGATTCGAACCGGCGACTTCGGCCTCAAGAGCCAAGTGTCTTAACCACTACAGCCAGGACACGGTGTTCGAAAGTGGAATCGTACCGGTCGTGATATCCACCCCACCCCTGCAAGGTTGTAGTGTCCAACTCAACACAACACACAACACCCACGGACACGGCAATTCTCGTACACTTCGCTCTGTAGTCAGCACGTAACCCCCGCTGGTACTCTCACGCGCTCACACAGACGAGAGATTTATCAATGCCCGTAGGTTCACGGGCGCTTCCACAGTAGTATGGATTCTGTACATCTGGGCCTAAGTCCTCCTCCGTGCAAGCACAGATTCGAACCGGCGTCTTCGGCCTCAAGAGCCAAGTCTCTTAACCACTACAGCCAGGACACGGTGTTCGAAAGTGGAATCGTACCGGTCGTGATATCCACCCGACCCCTGCAAGGCTGTAGTGTCCAACTCAACACAACACCACACACAACACCCACGGACAAGGCAATTCTTGTAGAACTAGCGAGAAACAAAATCCAAGAAAAGAAAAAAAATTCGATTTTCGGCTGTAAGGTCAAAATCGTGATTTTGAGGGCTAACTAGTGTGCTCTAATCAATCACTCAAGACTAATCAGCTACTCAGTCCCCGCACACGTGTCAGATCAGGTTGTCCTGATTCACGTGCGGTGTTCCGACACCAACTGTTACATGCCCAGATGGGCGATGTACATAAGGACCGAGGATCCGCAATGTGATAAAAAGGACTGAATGGACAATGCAACGCAAGTGGAATCTCAACAAGCAATGTGCATTTCGATGCATACAGAATGGTGCTTGATAGCGCAGGGAAGACTTAGATACAAATCCTGACCTGACCGGGACTGACCTTATTCACGTAACCCGAGGTAGCGAAGCAGAATGCTAGAATGCAAATGACTAGCCCAACCCATGTTTAAACGCAGACTAAACATGCATCATATCCATCACAAGGTGTGAAGGAGCCTGGCGCTATACACAGGAAAGAGGCGCCAGGTTCAGACATACACAGACGAAGAGGAGGGGATCAGACGAAGAAGAGGAAGGGGGAGATGGGAAAGTCGTCAACGCCAAGTCTCGTTTCAAGTCCCAAATAATCCCTCTTCGATATGTCTGAAGTCCAATGTCGAGTCTGGATCCAAATGTCACCAAGCTCTTTCTCTCGCTCTCTCGTAGTCTGCTGATGCAGTGAAGTCAGATAGCGAGAGGGTGAGAGGGAGATGGTGGACTGAGAAGAGGAAGAAGAAGCACTCTCTCTCTCTCTCTCTCTCTCTCTCTCTCTCTCTCTCTCTCTCTCTCTCTCTCTCTCTCTTGCATACCAGGTACTTACCTGTGAAGATGGCGTTGTGCTGCAGGTACCTCGAAGAGGAAGCTGGAGCAACGGCGCTGCAGGTAAGTATCCCTGGCCTCCGCCCAATCTCTCTCTCTCTAGTGCTACTCTAGCTAAGGCACCCAGCGCTGAAGACTACTACTAACGCTGCAAGTGCCCAGCGCTGAAGACTAAGGCTAACGCTACCACTACTGCAGCGCTCCTCCAGAGTGCTGCTGCCGAATCCTGAAGACCACTGACTACCTCCTGCCTGCCCGTGAAGTGCATGGGAAGTCCCTATGTACTACCTCGGCCTGCCTCCTGGCTGCCTCCGACTGCCTGCAGTTGCAGGGCGGGC